GCTGACATGTTCGTCTCTTTGGACGCGACAGTTTAGATGCTCTCAAGTATTTGTTGATGTAATGGCGGAAACACTTTCGTCTCGCTCATCCGGGGTTCGAATCCCGGCGAGGCTTTGGGATGTGCTGCTTCACCACTTTGGTATGGACTGACAAGGACAACTGAGTGTTAGGACAAGAGGGGGACTGTGCAGTCAAGAGTGGTATGAATAAGGATTCCACAAATCTCTTAACCACACACACCTAGGAGAATAACGAAATTCGATTTCACTAATACTCTTGTGTTTCAGTCTTGCTCCAATTGAGGATCGGCGACCATCTGCGCAATTCGCGTTGGTAGACTGACTGAAGTAGAGCACTAATACTTACGACAAAATTTGGGATATCAAATAACATTATACTCTGAGTCCCGTGAAGAGGCAAACACGGTGCAAAAAACTCTGACATTTCATTCATCGTACGTTTGTACGAATCGACCTGGTTAGCCTACATACGACAGTTATGAATACAAAGAATCAACACTAGATTTTAGATGGACGGACCCGATCATAAAAGCTTTCCATATCACCCGATGGGAGAGAAGTTGCAATAAATTTGCTAGTTCAAAGCTTGTGTATCTCAAAAAAGATCAACGGATGAAGTAACTAATTGTGGGTTTATTGTTAAGTGCCCCAGACGTATTCATGGCCAAAAAGACTACATACTACTGAATAACATTCACAGAATGAGAGGACGGTTAGACTAGTCTTCTAGTGCCCTCTCCAAAGGTCCAAACCATTTCCCAACCGACACTCTCAAATATGCACTACACGTAAAGGTGTCACGTTGATGTAACAGGCCTACGAACATAGTGGCCTAGATTCGCGCCAATCCCATTCCCTAAACTGCATAACCAAGACAGTGGAGAGTATTAATGCCCAACCGATATTCACTTGTGCTCCTTCCGGAAACCAGATGGTCTATATTCCAAGTCGAATCAATCCACCCATCTGTGGGAACAGAGCGGTACACTCCATCAACTAGTGGGAACCACGTGGCATGTTCTGATTGGTACGGTTTTGGTTGAACATCAACTCCCAACACAGTAGAACTTTTCGATAAGATACGTTTCTCAGTCAAAGACGAGTCCCCTTGACCTTATACTCAAGAGTCCAAGAAGACTTGAAGGCATCTCGTTGGGTGTTTCTTTTTCATATGTTTTGCCAGCTGTGGAGATTCCTAGATGGCTAACGATGGGGCCAGTTAGACTTAATCTGATTACCGGACACGCCAATCACACATTCGGAAACAAAGCCTTCAAAACTCTTCTTGAAGGAGTACTACTCAAAGGTTACTGTAGACTCTTGAATATCGCACTCCTTGTTTGGGACTCATTTTGTATGCGCAGTTCACGAATTTCGTCGGCTTCACGTTCTTCTTGAATCACAAACCGGCGGAATATTTCCATATGCATATTCATTTAGCCTTAACGGGAATCTTCAGTTTATGAAACTCTTCAACTGAATGTGCTGGCCAAAGTTCGCCTAGTGTTTCAGCTTGTAAGTGTTCCGCCGACTACACACAGTGTGAATTCAAATAGAACGTAAGGTTGGCGGAAACTCGAGAACTCGCTTACCTAACGAGTCTCAAGAGAAGCGAAACTGGTGGTGGGCTGTCGAGGAGCTTTCATCAACCTTGCGAGTAGCTGTCCTTCAAGAAAATTTACTGCCATATCACGAATATCATGTCGACTGAAACATAGAGTGGACCATGTGCAGCAAACCCGAGGTTAAGCGGAGTCACCCAGTAGAACCAAATAGATTAGCAGATGAGTACATTTCATGGAGCCTCGACAATCATCGATCGGTTCAATCAGCCTCCGTTGGCACGTGTGTTGTGTTGCAAACAACTCTGCAAACCTACGATTTATCCTCGGTTCCCACTGAGATGGTCACCTTCACCCAAGAATTATGCAGATGTCTACCTAGCAAGCTCTAAGCTATACTGTTTTGATGGATGATATCTGTCAACCAAAACTGTTTAAATCTATCACCCAGCTCACGTTCATTGTGCATCAAAATGACATCACTCTGCTAAACAAAAAGCGTCTTCAGTACTTTCTAGAGCTTCGTCTGTCTGTGCTACAGAGCTTATCATGTGGCACGGATCAGTGATTCTATTTGAGTGCTAACAAGAGCTCATTTTGAGTTTGCTTAACTGAAGCCACAACCGGAGGTCACCTAATAATTTTCTCACCAGATTGACAGCGTCATTCAGATTTTGTAACAATAAAACCACAATTATCTAATCTTCTGACCCGTTACAATACCCGAACTTTTGTGCAACTCAGTGTGGCACTTGATCTAACCAGTTTTTGGTTCATTCGTACAATCGGATTATTGGTGAATAGTCAGGTGTTTCATCTAATTAGTCAACGGGCCGGAAGGAGCCCGCCCATTGTAGAGCAAGATTAATCAGTTAATTCAAATACTTTCTGGATATCATGGAGAACACAGTTACTTTAATTTAAACCCACCACACAGCAGTCTTTGACAACGATATTCATGATCCCATTCGACAGTTGTGGAAAGCCGGCCGAGCAGAATGCATGTGAACCCAGCCAGGTCGTACCAGGATACGCACAAGATAGATCACAGGCAATAAACTTGAATTATCATCAGGGATGACTACCTCGGAAAGATGATACAGATATTGAATGACACTTCAAAATTTTTATCAGCGAGCAAAAGACCAGACTCAACCAAGTGAGACAAAACTAACAAACTGTTTGAAGCGCCTGAAGAATGAAGGTTTGATTTCTGAAGTCTGATTCCAACGCCTGAAACCTGCCGGTACCACAATTCAGCGACTTTATGGACTGCCTAAGGTTTCATAAGAAAATGTTCCATTGAGGCTGATTTTGGATGTGCGTAATTCCCCATATCACGCAACTGTCCAATGGTTTACCGAGATTTTAGATTTAGATTTATGCTGGTATAGTCTCTGTGACACTTTTGAGTTTGTGGACATGATAAAAGATGTGGATATTAGTTCCAAATTTATGTGCTCTTTTGACATAAATTCCCTTTTTACCAACATCCTAATCTTGAGGACTACAGATTTTATCTGTGATTTGATAATCCCAATCCCCACCATCTCATTGAAAAAACTACTCCTTCGCTGTACCTTCAGCGTAAAATTCCAATGTAACTCCATGCTTTACCGACAAATCGATGGAGCCGCCTTGGGTTCTCCTCTTGGCCCCTTATTGAGTAACATTTTTATGGGCAAACTGGAGCTTGGTCGATTGAATGGGGAGATTAGACGTACACACCTTTATCGAAGGTACGTAGATCATATCTTTATGGTAGTATCAAACCGTTCCGAAATGGATGCTCTCCTGACCAACTTCAACCAGGCACATCCTGCTATTCAGCTCACTTTTGAAACTGAAAGTGACAACGCTTTCTACTTCTTGGACGTTAGGTTAGTCAGACTTCCCACGGGTTCGATTCGGAAGTCTGTCTACAGAAATCTCACGTGGGCGGGACAGCACACAAGCTTCCTGAGTTTTGTGCCACTGAGGTGGAAACGAACCCTGATTCAAGCTTTAACGAACCGAGCAAAACGTATTTGTTCTCCTGATACACTGGATTCCGAACTGCAGCACTTTGCTTACGTGCCTCGAGCCAATGGTTATCCGGAGAGATTTATAATCAAGAATATGTCCGACCGCCCTATCCAATCGCCTATCACGACCGTTGGAAGGAAGCCAATATAGTTGAGTTTATCGTATAAAGGCGATCTGTTGGTGGACATAGCCAATCGCTGCCTGTTTCAATTCCTATAACGCACGTTTCCGGCTGGAAATCTGTGGTCTTGGTTTACAACAAACCCTTTGCTCAACTTAAACCTCAAAGACAAGATACCAGTCCTCACCCGGAATGTGGTTGTGTATTCCTTCTCCTGCTGTTGTTCAGCGGAGTACGTTGGGCGCACGACACGGCAGCTTTTAATTTGTCGTTTCATGCTCTAGATGCCAAGCGACCTGTTTCCGGGTTTTCAGTATGTTGACCGCCATTAGTATGATGTTTCACAACTAGGAATGGGGGCACCGCTGGCAGAATATCGCTCTACTTACGTTCCGCATTCCCTCAAGATTACTCGATACCAGCGGCTTCAGTGGCAACCATCAGATATCTTGAAATCTGTGTCGTAACTAAACTTTCGAATTTCCTTTATGCTGACAAATACCGGGCCGTCCTATGGTTTTTCATGAGTGTTGCTCCTACAAAAAATGATAGTCGGGAGATAAAAAGCAATTTAATCTGCTAGTGTACATGAGTTTTTTTTACACTATAGAGTCAAGTAACAAATGAACCAACAGACAAAAACAAAGAATCGGCGGATGAAGTTTATCACCAACTGGGCGGATAGTGACCTGAATGGCGCAAAGTGGCTGGGCTCGGTCAGCAGGTGAGCTTTAATGATCTGTTGTCAAGGATAGGTGAGGTAGTAGTCTATTAACTGTTCTCCATAGTGTATCTCTATGGTTGACTTTTTTTCGTTCTTCACAATAGCGGAAATATGATGAGACGAATTAACTTCTCATTACGGTCACGTGAGTTGTGCGTGATCCAGTCAAGAAAGACCAAAGTGAACTTGTTTCGAGTTCGATCACATGGAGACGAGGGATTAATAGTGACGGTGGTGTTTTGAGAGAGAAACAGATAGAGAGGGAGAGTGAAAAAAAGAAAAAAGAAGGCTAAAATCTGAATACGGTCTCGTACAAACTAGAAATGAAAGACAGACGCATTAACAAGTTTCGCTGTCAACTTACGGTCGGAATGTCAACTAGGTTGTTGAATTCGTTTCGAGATGATCATCATATTCATTAATCGAGTATTAAGTATGTAGGGGTGTGTGTGCTATTCTGCCCGTATTTGCACGTATGTACACATACAGCCATGAGAGCCTGGTGGGTTTGTTGCTATTCTGTGTTTCGGAGGTAATCAGTTAACAGCTATTTGGGTGTGCTTGACAGACGAACCGGTACACTGACTGGCGAAATCTGGGAATCGTAGGATTTGAGTTCACTAAATAACTCTGTAAATCGTAGCGAATCTGCATTGACGTGTAACATATCTTGGGATTTGGCGTTGATAATGCGTAGACAATATTGCCAGAATCGGTTGCGTACTTGGTCTATGACTTTTGCACGAATCGAGCTCTCGAAACCGTTCAGGAGTGCATTCTCACTATCGAAGACCTTTCGATTCCCATTGTTGTTCTCCATCAGCAATTGATTGGTTTCTGCGATTAGGAATGGTTTGAGAGGGTAGCTAATTTCATTACCCATATAAGAGTAGGACAAGTAAAGACAGGCCATTACAATGGTGTGAAGTTCACGTTCAGAGTTGACGGCACATTTCAAACAGTCTTTAAGCATCATGAATAAGAAGACAACATTCGCCGGATTCATAAATGCCAGTTCTGACCATCCTTGAACCAGTAATGCCCGATCGACTGCGCGAATCCAGTTGACAATAATATTTGGCTGCAGTAAACGTAAGCGATTTGATCGAGTCCTACTGGTCGATGTATTCAGAGAGGCCAGCTGAAGTCTAGCGACAACGAAAAATGATAAACATCGTAGCAGTTCACTGGTACTAGCCTTGAAACCAGTTTGTCTAGGATCCACAGAATGTGCGCAATAGTGAATCGATCGACCTTCTTTGCGCATCCACTGGCTGGCCAAATCACATTCGAGTTTAAAACCGCAGTAGGAGGTAGTTGAGTACGGGATCAGGCAGTGTTCGGTTTGGTGTCCCTGACATTCGGAAAGATATAGTTTAGGGAGATTGTTCCGTATTGGTTGGTTGGAATTTGGTATCCTTTTTTCTTCAACATCAGCTGGTTTATGTGTTTCTGCGCAAGCCTGAGAGGCGGTGTTTTTAGAAAGTACTACAGGTCGACTCTCACACCATGGTACACTGTGACAAAGTGTGCTTTGTGAGCTCTCTACATCCCAGTCTAACTGATGTTTTTCATGTCCAGATTTCGACTGGGCTGAAATACCAGGCTGTTTCTTATCCTGAGACTTTTCTAAAACTTTTCGCTTGCTCTTTTCAGCCCTGAGTCTGGGGATCATGCTTCGAGGGAAATTTTCCGTGTCCGTCTTTCCCACCACTCGAGAACGGAAGCTGTTTGCTTGATGATGCTGACTGAAAAACCTGAGTGCATAGCAAGATAAGGACTTGGTAAGGTTCTTACCCCAGCTAAAATCTTTAGACTCGATTCCAGGCTCATTTGCTGGCACTTGTGGCGATATTTCCACAACGGTTGTATTTCGTCTGTGTATACCGGCGTATTCTCGAGATTTACCAAAAGAAGTAAGTGGTTCCTCTGGTACTGCTGGAATACGACTGGAAGCAGGAGAGGGTTGAACGGACGACTGAACTCGGTGTGCAATGACTGGATGGGGTGATCCAATGACTCGGGTCGGGCTCGCAGCGTTAATGGAAAGCTGCGAGAAAAAAGCATATGGTTTCTTGTCACGACGGTAGGATGGAGAACACTCTATTCGAGCATTTCCCAAATGGGCTGGGATCGAATGGTGATAGGGATGGTTTCCGGATGACGCAGTAACACCATCAGATGGACTGTGCTGGTGAGGCATTCCTTTTATAACTCGTCTGCTTGTGGAATGGCTCGAAGCACAACGTTGAAGTTGATGCATTCTTCCAGATAAATCGCACACTGGATTAACCCTTCTCTCAGTCTCAGTATACATATCATGTTGACATTCACAATTCGAGACTGGCCGCTGTGGACTAGTCCTCACCAGTGGAACTTGATTCAGCAGTTCCAGACAGGTCACACATGATGCATGAGACATTTGCATAAATGCATTTGGTTCTGAAAATTGACGGCGTGAATTGAAGTGTACGTGTCGCGGTGGCTGAACAGTGTCTGACGTATGAATGTGTGAGTTCAGCCCAGCAAATGGTTCTGCATTCAGATTAGCTTTCACGGGACTGGGCTGGTAACACGAGATCGATAAATGCTTGCATGCTGTGCACATGGGCTTAAGACTGTCATGTGGTCCGCAGTAAGGTGTACCAGTTCGGCCACCATTGGCATAGCTCCCTCGTCTTTCGTCGGTGTATGGTTGAATGGCGTCGATTTCATGTTGCGATTGCTGGTACTCGGAATCCTCTAAGGCAGCTGAAAAGCTGACTCCACTATTCCTCAATTCACGATGGTGGGGGTAGTTTGAAAAATAGGAATTTCCTCTGGATCTTCTCCGGAAGATGGACGGAGTCACCGAACCCAATGTCTCTTCACATTGATCCCTGAAAGTCGCGATACCAGACTGAGAACGTTGCGCTTTACGGACAGTTACGGTTGGGTTCACCGGTTTCGTTTTTTTCGACAGGCCCGGAAATATGATCCGTTTCAAGCCCGTCGAGCCGGGTGCAATAGGGGTGGCCAGCAAGTTCGTTTGTCTAGATCTCAAGCCTCCTGGCTGGTAAGTCGAATTCCGAATACATCCGTTATGCGTCACCCTAGAAGAACATACTTCGAGCAAACTTGGATCGCCATAGTCATTGGAACTTCGCCTGTTCAATGATCGCTTCGGGTATAAATGGTCTGATAGGTCGGTTAAACTGGCGCGATCATTGAGGTAACACTGATTGTGAAACTGATGGCTTTTGGTTTCCACATGTGCCGCGGATGAAGAGTTGGACAGAACTGTGCCCATGAAGTCGTAAAGTTCAAGGTGTTCAACTCATGCATCAACCATCTGTTTCACTCTATCATCCACCTTGAGTGCGCGATTGCAAATAATCCAACCTCTGGATCATTCAGAAGATGAAAGCCACCAGTTGGTAACGACTAAATCATGACTGTTTTATTAGCCCTGACTCCGGATAACGAACAAAGTACTCTGTGCTATCGAATTACATCCGGATGGATAGATGTTAATCCTTTGAGTGTAATTTCTAGCAGGTATGTCGTTGGATTCTGTTCACATGTCACAGTTCGGTTTGATGCAAGTACCACAGTGAACCTGACTATTTCGTTCCACGGTAGAATGGATTAGGTCTCATTCAACCAATTCCACCCATAGCGTGGGAAGCCGGGAGCGGGGGTGGTGAGTAGGAAGGGCTAGAAATTTTCCCGTGCGCCCGTGCACACGAGTGCACGTGTTATGTGGGCGCGTGCATTCATCCCATTGGGCAATACGCTCCCACACACATTCACTCACTTACCCATCCATATACCGGTGGGTTCCGCCCTCATCGATTGTGAGTTGAATCTTACCCTTCCTTATAGGTTCGGTTGCTCGTGTGTGTGTGTGTGTGTGTGCAGCCATGCTAGCCTCAAACGAGTGCAGCTGATGCATAACTGCGCAAGGCCGATGGTAGACATGGTGATGTCCGGTAGGTTTCAAGCCAAATAACCAAATTGAGTTACTGTCCTTTGGTCTGTTTGTCTTTCGGATGAAGAGAATATGGTCGATAGTACAGAGAAGGAAAACCGTAAACATCTGGGTGACCAACCTGACACACGATGCAACTGGACAAGCACCTGACGGGCACAATGCCAGCCAAAAACAATGATGTTTTATCACATTCGTCAAGACGGGGATAAAATGTACGAACGAGAGACATTTTCTGTAAGTTTATTCTCAAAACAACAACAGCAAAAAAGGGATTATTCCGCGAAGACTGAATCCACTTACATGGGAAGCGCAAGGCACACAGTGACGAGAAACCCATCTCTTACTGTATCGGATACCTGCGGCAGAACAGTGTCAAAGTTTCCTCGACATCTGAATGGGTTCGACTCACCAAGGTCAATATGACGCAATCACACGGTCTACGCGAACTCCATACTTCCACTGAAACCCATTCGAGATATGTTCAAGTTTGCATAGCACACTGGTTAGGTTCACTGAGATTTTTAGTGCCGCCAGGACATGGTTAAACTAATGTGAAACATTTGGTTTCATAGAAGCCATCGGAAACGCTAGTTTCACCATTTGGTGATGCCTCGTGTTCCACGAACGTCCTGCCAGAGACAGTTAGATGTCTCTGTGGCAATGTGTATGACATCCAGACAGAGATGAGGACTCCTAGTGAGGATCAATAGAAGCTATTTCGGGTGTGCATATGGGATCTACGATTCCGGTTTGATAACAAGCCTCATCCTCAGAAAGATGGTGTGACTATGGACAGACTACCAAGTTCGTTACTCATGCATATGTTCATACGTTGGAAGATGAAGGGGAGGATGACACGAGGAACCTATCATAGTGTTCGTTTTTTTCTATATCTGGCATGTAGACGACATATCATGTCTTATGCAATACAGTGAGCAAGAGGACGAGATTCTTGATATTCTAACGCTACACAGGTAAATAGAACGTTGACGCCGGAAGGGGATACAAATTAGGTTCCATGTTCATTGAATGTTCTTGTTACTATCGGACACGATGTGTCGGTACAAACAAGGGTATCCTATAAGATAATATGGGACGTTTTGTTGCACAAACTAAAACGAGGTCTTGTTCGCTACCTAGAAAATGAGAACAGAAATATCTTCACCATTCAAAATCATCCATCCTTTCCCGCTGACCTGTTTGTTTAGGATGGCTATCCCCGTGAATTTACTGATGTAGACATACAAGAGAGGTACACACGACCAAAAGAAAAGGCGTACTTATGCTTAGCTTTCAAAGGTGGTATCACTGTCGAAGTAACTGGCTTTCTTCTAACCAGAGCGTGACAGTCGCTTATGACGTTGCGGATATCTGCATCAACTTTACTTTAAGGACCATTTTCATTTAGTTATTGACATCCAAGGTGTGTAGAGCGTGATATGTCAAGTGAACTAGGCGTCTCTCGGAAAGTGTCCGCGGACCCTACGTGCCTTTTTTAAACAGCGGATCAATGAAAGGGCTGACCACGAGCTAGGCATCAGTTGAACATTTCGACCGATTTACCGGGTAAAAGGATACTATTCTAGAGTAGTCAGATATCGCGGGCTTCCCATAGGGGAGGTTGTTGGAATGCGATGGTACAAACCTGGTATCAGCTAGCAGAAACTGTTTCTTGAAAGTCTTGGTTACTGTGTTCAATCTCATATGGACCACGTGACCCACACTTGCACTCCCACACTCCCATGTCATCGGAATGACGTGTATCTTCTGTGACCAAGTACCGTACCATATTATGTCAATCGATGTCAGTCGTTCATATTTTAGTGCGCCCACTGAAGGAGCGCTAGAAAAAGTCCCCTGCTATCCGGTCATTGGACGTGCAAAACAACCTCAAAACCAACCGGTATGAGATTGTTAATCGAAATTTCGTCCTGTAGAAGAAGCCAATCTATGCTGAAAAGCGGAGAAACACTCTATAGCCATTTCATCCTTATTGAGTCCATCAGGAGTATGCATCATACAGAGCTACAGGCAGTTTCATAATGTGACCTCCCGGCGAGTAGCATGGACACAACCGCTCGGCCATCAGCAGCGGAACAACATTAGGATTAACTCGAACTCAGGAAGGATATAGCACCACCGCTCCTTCACTCAGAGAATCCACATCACATGGTCAGGTGTTGACTGGCTCCTCGAGTGAGGGTTTCTCACTTCGATGAACTTATAAGGTTGCTGGAAATTCTTCGACAGCCCACGACCGTTTCGCCCTTGTTGGGGCCCATCAGATAGATGCAGTCCACGAGTTTCCGTCAACCTTATGTTCTACTTGAACCCTAATTAAACGAAACTAGCGAAATACACTCATTTGCAAACCAATTCGGTTTTGCGAGAGACTGACCTGGAACCCAGCTGAATCTCTCCTTTATGATGTTTCTAAGCTACTAAATGTGCTATAAAACACCATAAACAAGGGATTCAGCTGGGTTCCAGGTCAGTCTCCCGCAGAACGGAATTTGTTTGCAAATGAATGTATTTCGCTAACTTCCCACATCTCTTATGATCTTCTCTAAGTCGAGGAACCAACTACCACGTGACCGCATGACGTTAATTCCTTGAGTGGCGAATGAGTGGCCCTATATCCTGTCTGAGTGCGAGTTAACAGCACTGCAGATGAGACGCTCGTGGCCGAAAGGTTTGGCGGAGAGGTTGCGAGTTCATGTCTCCCCGGAGATGCGTCAGGCTCGCAGTGCTGATGAATCCCACTAGGGGTGAATGAGCCGCAGAGAGCTACTCGGTTTTCGGAATCGACCTTGAATGCATCCAACCTTGATCCACCAGTGTGTGATCACACACTGTGTTCATCATTCCACTGGTAATCTTGTGACAGATTCAAGTTGCAGCACAACAACGGGAGGATGCAGTGAAAGTTCGCCAGATTTTTCACATTCATTCTGACTTTCCAATACTACTCAAAGTTGGTGGGAACTCTAATCTTCTTCAGTATCTCAATTCTTGCACCATCGAATCTGACTTTTGCAGAAATGTGTCTATTGTCTAAAGAAGGAGCAGGAGATGCCTGATGTGGAACACGTTTGTATGAAGGACACGAAATCCTTGTAAGCCCATTCTGTACAGGTTAGATGAGTGCTTATAAAAAAAGCACTGTATACGTCATAAGGTACTAACTGATGGGACTTCAATTCCATCATGAAACAAAGTCAACAGCGGATACCCATTTCCAGGAGGCCGCAGATATTTTGACTAGCGTCAGTCTAGCGCACGAGACCATTGCCACTTCATGATTTCTTTGTAAGTATTGGTGCTTCGTGCTGCTTTGATTGCTAGAATTAAGTTGTACTTCTATGGATTGTCTGAAGTCAGAATGTCAAAGAACTGTTTCCGTTGCGTAATCACTCCACCTAGTTTGACTCAAACAGCGGCCCAAACTCGACAACTGGGTAAACAAATGTCATCCACAAGTTGCACTTCCTCACGACGTACAAGACCGCAATCCTAGCAACCTCTGTGCACACACTTATCAGCTTGATACACTGATGCGTCTCAGCTACCGGACGATCCATGCTATATCAAAGGTAATACACTGTCGTTGCATCACCCTTTGAAGGACCATCTTGAAGACGCCCACACCCGAACGGAATAACCACAGTTGGGATTCCATGCAATCAAATAGCGGTAGGTGTCCTGGAGCTGTGAAGTGTTGCCACCGCCATACACGTTGCGCTTTGGTTGAGATACAAAATTTACACGTAGCAGGTTTCACAGAACGGCTGACTGCAGAACTCCGTATGTTCGCGATTGCAGGGAAACCCAGTAATCCGACTATCACGTGTACCGAACTTAACGTCTATTTTTCTTTCAATGCATGTATAATCAAACCCTGTAGCCTCTCCTACAACCATTGAATGCATCTATGTGTCAGCAAGGGTTTTTCTGAGAGCGTTTGCAGAGCTTCCAATGGACAATCGGTGGGCCTGAACAATGAGGGAGGAGGATATTGCAAAAGCCTAATTGTTCGCCGTTCGCTAGTGCTGTATCATGAATTTTTATCCGAGTAAGGACCCTGTGTGAAGAAGTTTATCGGAAAGTCACCCAGATTGAAGTAAAGAACAGACTTCGAGAAAGTGGGTATCCAGACAGTTTTCTTAGACATAATTGATTAACATAATTGATAACTAACTAAAACACGTAAACTCATAAGTTACTTCGTGTTCCATTCTGTAGTACAACTTTTGAAGGCGTTTCTACTCAACAGTGGGAAAGAACTGCATGACATGCAGATTCTAACCGCTGTGAGC